ATATATATATATAGGTGGTTTATATATTTAGGACAGAAAAAGTTCAATAGGTCAAGCAGTAAAAGAACTTTTCTCAAAAAGTAATTTCAACTGTAAATCTAAAAAAATAACTAAAGCAGACCTAAAGTATTTGAAGGTGATTCTCTGACTCACCTATTGCTGTATTTGTCACGTTTGTTTTTGGTGCAAAACCCAGATTTTCAGTGACCTCCACAATAAAACAGTTGTGGAGTCACCAGTCTTCTACTTTTTGATGTTTAACGGCAGTTTACATTGAGTGATGTTGTAAGCATAGGGGCCTTAATTTCATTTATAGTGGATGAAACTACATTTGCATTGGAGATCATCCTCTATGATCTAAAGCAACTAAACTGCAATTTTAGCTTCAGCTGCTGAATGTGATTTTTACAACCTGCAGGGTAAGAATATCCCATATTGTCTATCCAAGGACACTGAAAGTATAATAACCTCCAAGATGGTTTTTATATTTATTGCCATCCTTCTGTAGTTGATGTTGCTGTTTCATTGTCACAATAAGACACATCTTCTGCACATCTCATTTTTTTAATAATCAGTTAAACACACAACAGTTCAGTTGAGGCACATGTAAAATAAGACACCATGTTATTCACTGGCATTTAATAAAACAAAGCAAAAATAAACTATTATAATAAAAAAAATAATAATGAACATTTGATCATATTTCCTTGATCCAAAAAGCAATGTCAAAGTTTGGAGGGAACAAAAATCTCAACATGATTACATAAAACATCACAATAAAGCCTCAATCAGACCTCGAACAGCTCACCTCAACACTTCGCATACGACCCACGTTCATCCGCAGTGCTTCATTAGTTCTCACTTCCAACAGGTAAATATCATTACAAAAAAATACCTCTATATGCCAAAATATATCTGTACAGTGCCAAGATGGATTGCATGAAAAAAAGTCAAGTAACAATAAAGAAAAAAATAAAACATTTCAACACTGGAGAGGGTCCAGAAGTGCTTTCAGAGGCATGGTCCTCTTTTTATTTACAACCATCTGATGCTGATTGGGATCTAATAACTATAATTATGAACTCATTAATGTAAGAGTCTGAGTATTTGCTTTATCTGTAAAATGCTCAGTGGAGATTGTTTAAATTTACTCTTACACTGCTGTTACTGTTTGCCATTTTCTCTATGACTCATGATAATTTGCATC